AATCGCACAATCGGATGTATCGCCTCCATGGAAAGGAGCAACCTTTGCGGAAAGGTTGCTTTTTTTTATCATGTTCACTTTTCCTTCTTTAGAGGGTTTTTCGGCTGCGGCTTTATGTTCCTTGGCTTGTTCATATCACGATATTCTTCCAAGCATAACATCAAATGAGTAAGGGACTACCCCCATACTAAAGAACATGACTATACTAGAAGCATGTTCTCTAATGCCATGCTTACCTTCGCAGCTTCAGGGAGTGGAGTTTCAATAACTCGAATAGCGGCCTCTCTGAATCTAGTTATAAACAGGGAAGGAGACTCACCCAACTTCTGTTTGGTGGAAGTTAACTAACCAAGAGTGATGGGTCTTGGCCTTCATCAACTATAGCGGGAGAAAAATTGCCTGAACATTTTGTCAAGAGTTGCTTGAGGGTTATCCTTCATGAATCTTGGGTGCCACATCAAGAGTTCTTGTGATAAACTATGTGAGAACATGAACTTAAGTTGGTTGGGTCGGTCTCACAGTGTGTGGACTATCAATAAGTAAGTGTTGATGTGTGCCTCAGGATCCTCTTTCCCTGAAAATCTATTTCGGAACTGTGGCATGACAAACCCCACTGGTAGATCTTCTAGGTTTCCTAGAATTTCTTATACGTAAGCTTTAGGAGTTGAGAAATCTCATATTCTCATTTTCTCTAAAGAGTCTTGGAGGTGTTTCATGCGAGTTGCTTGAGCCGTCATTATAGCTACGAGCTGGCTCGGTTGTATGGTCTGTTGAACCTGACTTTGTGGTATGTAGCACATATAAACTAGTTGTGGGGCTCATGTAGTGGGTTGCCCTAAAGACTGAGCCTGAAGAATGTGTTGAACTTGATGTGCCGGTTGTTGGCTTGTAGACTCACCCGAGTTGAATTGGGTCGGAGTATACCCATTACTCAGAGGTTGCACAACATGGTCCTGCAAGGAGGCCTGCAGGAAAGGATCACCACTTAAGTGGGATGGACGATTCAAGTTGCTATGACGACTAGACCTCTGACCTTGGGTGGCTAGGTCTACCTGACCTTGATTCGATGATCTATCCCTAGGGTTAAAGTATTTTCTTGCCCCAGCACTGAACTAAAAGAGTGAAGGAATGCGATAACTATTGTAAAAGATAGTCGGCCCTCTTGGTAGTCTTGAGCTCGAGTGATGATTAGAACTAGATTCCTCGCCTAACAGCCTTAGGATTATTTTGGTTTGAGCCAAAATATTGGACTTGGCCCATGGCTTGAGCTTCCAACTTGACTTTCCAGAATTGACTACGCTGAATGGTGTACCCTCTATTCAGCAGATTTTGAAAGTAAACATGCACCTTAGGATTGTCTTTATATCGGGTTCGGTCAAAACCCTTATCTTTACTAGTGATGGGTTGCTTGGGTAGACTTTCCCAAGTTGTATGTAAACCCAATCGCCCACTAACTGACTGATTATCAAGACTGGAATGTTGAGCTGCTAATTGACCATCAGGGTTCATACGGCTGAGATCGACTGACTCAGAGATTTGGGTCGGAGCCTTATACTTGTCGTGCAGACTAGATTTGAGGTTAACCCCTATGTCTTAGAGGATTACCCCCAACCTGGCCCCTTGATTATTCAAGGTGTTACGAACTTTATTAACCTGTTGGCTCGTAACTTCCAAAAGATGGCCCTAAAGGCGGCTTAGACGGCTAGGTTTAGTTCCATGGGGGTCGAGAGTCGGCTTACTGACACGAGTTCTATGGATGATTTGTGAGAGAGCACTATAACAGTGCCTCTCGAAATGACTAGGTTCTTTAGATCTAGATTGAGCTGGGGCTATAGGGTTGGACCTTTCTCTGCTATGATCATGGGTCATGATTCCTACATTCGGTGAGATCTTGGCTCGACGCCTCAGGGTAGACCTAGTTTGACTCTAGGGCCAAAACCTTAATTGAGACCTAGGCTAAGACTAGACTGGAATCTTGAGTCAATGGATTTTGATTTAGACCCTGAACTTGGGTAAGCCTAGTCTAACTCCAAAGGAAAATCTATGCTTAGACCTATACTAGAACCTAAACTAAGATCTAGACTAGATAGGTACAAATCTCAGCTCAGACCAAGAGTGGGCCTAGGTTCGGACTTAGCTGTGAGCCTGGTTCGAACCTGGACTGAGCTGGGGGCAAGCCTAGGCTTGGACTTAAAGGGTTTTGAAGATCAGACCAGGTATAGACCCGAACTGGATCAAGGTTGAGATAGGCACAAGCCTTAGGCTTGGACCAAAAGGGGGCCTAGGTTCGAACCTGGTTGTGAAACTGGTTCGGACCTGGGCTAGGCTGGGTATAAGCCCAAACTTGGACCCAAAGAGTTTTGATGAAATATCAAATGACTCATAAAAATTCAAATAATAATTCTAAAATAATTTCTATCATAAAAGAAACATAATTAAATTAACTTGATGGGAAATTGATCCCTATGGTTAAGGAATTTAATCTGCAATCATGGGGCACTCCACCTTCAACTGTGGACTACATACCACACTTGCCTTATCGAAACGACCTAGCATTTCCGATGACCCACAATCTAAGCAGCGGCACATTAGCGGGTCACCGAAGTCTTGCGGATGAGCCAAGGAGTTGCAATCCCAATCTGTGGATTACAGGTTCTCCCTAGAGATAAGTCAAGGTCACCAATACCATATGCGACCACGGATCTATGGATCATAGGGGTATCTCTCGCACATGAATATGCTTCACCCTAAAAGGTGGATTTTTGGCTTTCCCGAATGATCTATCGATATGCATGTCGTGTGATGGTACATGGATGAGGTTTTGGCCCCTGTCTCCATAGGCCACCATCACACACAAGGGTCGCACAGTCCCTCGGCTCACTCATCCGGACATGTTTGCCTACCTCATCAAGGGCTAACCCATAAATCCTCATTGGTTTGTTCTTCATGTCCAGGTAATATGGGTTTTTCCCAATCGACTGGCCTAGATCGTTAAGCACAGATTAGTATCAGCAAACCATCATTTGCTTAGTATGGTCCACAAGGGACCACACTCCTATTGAGTCATGTTCCACTATATTATTTCATTTGACAAACACTCATAAAAATTCAAATAATAATTCTAAAATAATTTCTATCATAAAAGAAACATAATTAAATTAACTTGATGGGAAATTGATCCATATGGTTAAGGAATTTAATCTGCAACCATGGGGCACTCCACCTTCAACTGTGGACTACATACCACACTTGCCTTATCGAACCAACCCAGCATTTCACATGACTCACAATCTAAGCAGGGGCTCATTAGCAAGTCACCGAAGTCTTGCGGATGAGCCAAGGAGTTGCAATCCCAATCTGTGGATTACAGGTTCTCCCTAGAGATAAGTCAAGGTCACCAATACCTTATGCGACCACAGATCTATGGATCATAGGGGTATCTCTCGCACATGCATACGCTTCACCCTAAAAGGTGGATTTTTGGCTTTCCCGAATGATTTATCGATATGCATGTCGTGTGATGGTACATGGATGAGGTTTTGGCCCCTGTCTCTATAGGCCACCATCACACACAAGGGTCGCACAGTCCCTCGGCTCACTCATCCGGACATGTTTGCCGACCTCATCTAGGGCTAACCCATAAATCCTCATTGGTTTGTTCTTCATGTCCAGGTAATATGGGTTTTTCCCAATCGACTGGCCTAGATCGTTAAGCACAGATCAGTATCAGCAAACCATCATTTGCTTAGTATGGTCCACAAGGGACCACACTCCTATTGAGTCATGTTCCACTATATTATTTCATTTTACAAACACTCATAAGGCCTTTAAAGGCCACATAAACCCAACATCTCCCACTTGGCCTTTAAAAGCCTTACATTCTATCTTTCTCACTTTCTCTTATTCCCATCTCTCTCTCCCAATTACAATCTCTCTGAAGCATTTTCACTTATTTTGTCAATACATTAATCATAGCTTTCACTATCAATCACTATCATGTCCCAAACTGCAAATGAATTTTTCTTAAATGAAAAACTTAGTGGTTCCAACCTTAAAACATAGACGTAAAATGCACATAAAAAATCCAGACTACTACGGAGTTGGAAAACCGTCTAATTGATCATCTCAATATTGAAATGCATGAATATGAAGAAGAAAAAAAAAAAGATTTCGAGTCCAAAAAATAATGCATCTTGCAGCACATTATCTAGACCGTCCATTTTCAAGATTTTTATGTGTTTATAGAACTACTTGCTTTGAACTACTCTTTAGTCCAAATTTATAATTAAAAAAGAAATTGGATTCTAAGGCCATCCTAAAAATTTGTTCTACGAAAGTTATATCTTACGATAAAATTGGTGGCGCACATTACTTTCTGTTTTGGGTTGCAACCATATGCAAACCACACCCGTTTCTAAACAAAAAAACAAGTTCATATAAAGGTGAGGCCCTAAGCAATCAAATTAAGGTGCATGTCAAAAAATTCACTAAAAGATGTTATTTTAATGCTAAAAGATCCTAAGTTGATCATCTCGATCTCATGATGTATGACATGAGAAAAAATAAATTTCAGGACTTGGAAATTGTGCATCTTGTAGTACATTATTTAGACTGTCAATTTTCAAGATATTTCAAGTATTCATAGATCTTCTCAATCTACACTAATTTTTAATTTTTAAATTTTATAATAAGAGATGAAAATAAATTTTTGGGCTATCACAAAGATTTTTTATACAGAAAAAATATAGTATGAGACAATTTAAATGTGCACCTTACTTCGATTCTTTAGGGCCTCAGCCTTATGCGAACAACCCCCCTTTCTAAAAAAACTTTTTTCTTTATTTGTTAAAGATTATTTTACCCTCTTAAAGTTGTTAATTGTTTATTTTACTTTTGCTACCTTTATACATTTTTTCGAACTTTTTCCTATATTTTTTTAACTTATATAGGCCTTTCACCTTGGCCAAGGGCCAACTACCATAGCCGAGGCGAGTCCTGGATCATAATACATAGGCTTTAAATGCTATGGCAGACACCATGGGACATCCACTACTGATTGTTATTGATGGGCATTGGAGATACAGTGTAATTCTCAAATATTTGACAGAACTACGATTCATTATCGTGCCAAAAAGAGGTTGGATGGTGGATATTACAGAATACTTGGCTTTGTATAGAAAGCCATCTGTCAATTTCATAATTGAGTTCTTCCCTTTTCTCCATAACCACTACAAAATTATCAGAAACAAAATCAGAAATATGTTTCACTGTCGAACCTTTTAGTTTGTGAACTAGGTGTTAAATGTGCAGATGGACTAAAGAAAATACTTTTACAATGCGATGGGCCTTACGGATTTTATTTTATTTTTGTTGTATATTACCTTGAAAATGTTGTAGTGAATGTAATACACCTTTCCACCTATAACTGAAACAGGTGTGAGAACGCCCCCCAAGACTACTTTTGAGTTCGTTTGAATAAAACCTGGACAGAGAAGGTTGTAGCACCCAGTGGTCTGAGAACCTGCTACTTTCTGATACACGTAAATAATCGGCCGATTAACCTCATATACATCAATAACAAGTAACAACAGTCAGATGATCGAGTAATATGAAGCTTACATCCCAAGCTACAAAGAGGCGGGTCTGGTTGTCTCCAAAGAGAGATGGTTTCACCTATAGATGTATAAACTGTCAAACTCATACCAAGATCTTATATATGAAGATGAATATCTCTTAAATACACAAACATTGTTTGCGAGTAACAGACAAGCCTTTCATATCTATTAAGAACATATAAAGTTCTTTGAGTAAAACCTCTACCGAAACCCGAAGCATTATCGTAAGTGTCCCATCCATTTGTAGAGTAAAACATATTTGTTTTAACAATGGGTTCTTGTTTCTTACTCAATTAATTATTATTGTGGTTGCCTTCAGTGTTGGGAAGGTTAAACTCCACATTGCTCTGCAGTACTCAAATTGGATTCTTGATTTGGCTTAATTATATACGGGCACAGAAATGAGGAACTTTTATTTCAACATTTTCTATGGTTTTCCTCGCAGTGCAGGGGCCTTCCAAATGAGCCAAGCATGTCACTGTCATGTGAGCCTTTATAATGCTGTAAAACTTCCATTTTGGGTCATTAGAATCCGACTGTCCACTGCTTTTCTCCCTCCCTCCCCTTTCTCAAGTTTATACTATGGTTTGCAGGAAACTGCATAAATGATGGCCTACTCATTCTTGGCTGAAAAATTACTTTGATGGAAAATGGTGAAACAAATATAATTAGGGCATGTTTGATAGGTAGAAGAGACAGTTTCTTAATCAACCTCTCCCATCACTTTCAAAAGATATAACTTTCATGGGATAGCATAGATGCTACGGCTTTCAATTCTCAATAGCTAGAAGCTCATTCTGTTTAACAAACATAGTAAGTGCTACAACACTAAAATCCACAGCTTTTGGCAGCCTGAGTACCCAGTAGTTGAACAGCGGCAACAGATTATCATGTATCTAAAACCTTACTACTCTAGGTCTACATTCAGCATCAAGCTATGGACCTATGAGGCTTAAGCATGGCGAAAGTGAACTCGATCTAAAAGCCATATTCAGGTTCATGAGCTATGATATATTTATTAAGCTGAGTAATTGATGACAAAAGAAAAAGAAAAAGCAAAAGGGCAACATACCATCAATCCTGCTCTAACTAGATTTGTTACACTGCCTTCGTTATTGACGAGCTAAAGGTTTTAAAATTAGTCAAATTAAAACATAATATATGAAATGCAAGTTTTTAATTCTATGGGAAGAAAAGAAGAAGTAGATAAGATTAACGGTCAATAAATACCTAAAAGAGGTTATTTTTATATTTTGGGTCAATAATCTAAGAAAATGGAGATGAGGAAGATGGCGTGTATAGAACTAGAGCTGAGTAGGCGAAGTGGAGATGTGGATCTAGAGTTTTATGTGACTGTAACATATACCAATGAAGATGAAGGGTAAGTTCTATAGGACAGGTATAAAACCACGAATACTTTTATGGGATAGAATGTTGGTTGGTCAAGATACAACATATCTGTAGGATGAGATTAGCTTAGATAAGGATGTTGAGGTGGATAAGTAGCAAAACAAAAAGCAAAACAAAAAGCAAAACAAAAAAGGATAGAATTGGAAATGAATACACTCGAAAGAGTTTAGGTGTGGCTTCAATAGGTGATAAGACGAAGGAAAAAAGACTTAGGTAGCCTGGCAATGTGCAATGTTGACCTAATACTGCAGCTGTTAAGAGGTGTTATTTGGTTTAGGTGGAAGACTCTAAAAAAGCAAGGAGAATGCCCAAAAGAATATATATGGAAGTAGATATGTTGACATATGGTCTTACTGATGGTATGGCCCTTATTAAAGCAGAATGATAGAACAAGACTCACATAGCCAATCTCAAATTGGTGGGATAAGGCCCGAATGAGGATAATGATGATGTTTAATTATGTTGTTCTTATCTTCTTAATAACGTTTTGAGGCAATTAAACCATTTTAAAAATATTAAAAAGTGTTGGGTTTGGTGATAGCCAAGTCACCATACCCATATTTTCTTATAAATATTAAGGGTAGTATGGTAAAAAGAAAATAGACTTTCTTGGGAAGCAAGAAAGTGATATCTATATAAGATACTCAATGAAGGCATAATACCCATCCTTTTGAGGGTCACCCTTTTAGGAAAGGATCTCCAAGATGAAGATAGGTCTCCAAGAGAGAGAGAGACATGGCCTCCGAGGGAGAGCCGGTATTCCCATGGGTTTTGGGTTTGTAAGGCTTCCACTTCTAAAATGAGAAAATCTCTCAGTTGCTCTCAAGGTTAGTTTTTAGTAGCGGTTTGTGGTGGAAAAGAAAATGGAGATCGACGGTGTTGCTCGGTTGAGAGAGTGGGTTTAAAAACAAGATCAATAATGGTTTTTTTATCGATATTTAAAGAAAGGTATTAACTCTTGCAACCAAAAATTGTAATATTCATTGTGATAGTGGATTTCT